AGAGAAGAACCTCCGAGGTCTCAACCTCGCGCCCCTCACCCCCCCCAGCCTCGGATGCGCAGGACGGAAAGCGCAGCAAAAGCGCGTGGGCGTTGGCCGGGTGGTCTACCTTCAGCACCTGGGCATCCCAAAACCCCCTTGGCGCCCTTGGGTCTCCGAAATGCGAGGCCATCGCAACATTCCATCGCGTTAACAGCGCCTGTAGACGTGGCAAACACTTCATCTCACACGTCGAAGGCGGTTCGAGCATGGGCCCCTTCACTCCCAGAGGCGACATTTTGAGGTTATGCGTTGGATTGGGCGGTTTTTCGCCCTCTTCCGCCTCATTGAGGGTGGAGATGGTTTCGTTTATTCCAACGCGATCCGGCGTTGTGGAAATGGGCAGATGATCTAAAACCACCGCCGCATTCTCCGGCGCGTCTCTGGAAACCACCAAGTCACCGTAAGTCAAAGTATCATCCATAGTTGAAATGATGTCAAACTCACACTCTTCGTCAATCCATGTATAGTATGGCCAAATATCGAACCAAGCCAACTTCATGAATAAGTACACCTCCTCTGGAAGCACAATTAGAAGTTTTCTGGCTTCCCCTTCCACTGAGGAGTTATACTTTTGGTGATCCTTCTGTGGGTGTAGTTTTCGTCTTTTTAACCTCTGATTTTCAAGGTAGAAGTGTCGGAGTGATAGAAATGAAAGCAAGCCAAGGTGATGATCCGCATGACCGTGGGATATGAAAACAAGTTCAACATCCAATACAAAGCGAGAAAGCTCGACATCTTCTTCCTCGTATTCGCCTAAATCGACTGTACGGTGACAACGTCGGGTCAATAAAAGCCGAGATAGTTGACCCGCACTACCTTCTCCAAAATCCAAGATAAAAATGCCCCGTCTCTGCTGTGGTGGATCGAAATCATGGGTATGGGAGCTCGAAGCGGAGATCACACAACGCACGGCGCGATCCGTCTCCTCGTCTTCCTCCTCGTTCATGAGGCCAGATTCGATAACAGGGTCTGCTGCCAAAGGCCGATGAGGGCCAAAACAATACGCTGGGAGGTCCAGCTCCAGGTACGCCCCACTGACGTTGCGGTACTTGCTGGGCACAGCGGAGCCCGTACCGAGAAAGCCCAATGCCCCCCCCCGCCATGGGCCTCGTGCGGGATGGAAAGCGCAGCTTCAACTGGCGTCCCCTCCCGCGGGGCCCTCTGCTCGCGAAGAATCGCCTGAAATTCCGCGGAAAGCAACCCCTCCGCGGACCTGGCGTCCGGGTAGCGAATACACTGAGTCCCCCCCCCTCCATCGGGGTAAATCGCCAAGGACGAGGATCGGGCCGGGATCGCCTGGTCGGGGCTCACCCCGCGCGTGGTCTTTCGGGGGCCCCGCCCCGCAGTCGGCCTCGTCGCGTCTGGGAATTGCCCCGGCCGGGGGGCCGGGCGGGCCTGAGGCGGGGGGACGCTGCAGAACTTGAAGGAGTAGGGCCAGAACGACCGAGCCGCCGAGGGGGGGCGGGCCTTTATGGGCTGAAGGGCCCCTTCGGAGGTCCTCGGGAGCCCCGGCGGCGGCTCCGCCGCCTCGGCCCGCGAAGGCAGGGAGAACGGGGGAACGGGAAAGCTCCCGGGGGCGATCGCGTGCAGGTGGTACTGGTGCACCAGCGCGGTGGGAAACGCCGTGAAGTGGGTCTGGATGAAGGCGGTGAAGAGATGCTTGGTGAAAAGGTCGGGGCGCGACGGACGCCCTGCGTTGTCTTCGGGGGCTTCATTCGGCATCAAGGCCTTGGTGGATTGCAATTCCTGGCGCAGCACCCCAACGTTGGGGTCGATCGTTGCCGAAATGTCTTCCTCAACGAGGTCTGCCATAGTGAAAGACATCATTGGGAAGGAAGAATGCTGTACTGATTGGTGCACCGTTGCAAAAATGGTACTAAGATACTTGCGGTAGACACTCTCGTGCAGAAGTGATGAGTTTGAATTCGATTCTAAAGAGATCGTTGGACTTCCCTTATGAATCCTAGAATTATCCCGTTGCGCATTAAAGACTATGAAATAGGAAAGCGGCTGAGTATGCACAACGTGACGGATAACAACCGTACGTAACTTGCGTTTCTGCTCATCGCAAGTATCGGGATTTGAAGGAGACGAGGTGTACGCCATGCAGGGAAAGGACTCGCGTAGGATTCGGATTAACTCACTGCAGCCTCCCCCGCCAACCTCGCGTTCCTTCGTATTATCATAACTAGAAAGGTCTTTTGTTTGGTTATATGCACCTCTCCAATTCTCTAATTCCTGCTTCTTTTCCCAATCACAAGTTCCCAGAAGCTTCTCTAGGGCAGTACGGACATCTGCGGCGCTATTCCCGTCCAGCACCAACGATACGTAAAGATGTTGGCTAGCGAAAGTGGGAAACGTCACCTCATGTGGTTCTACCAGTCGAGGTTGATGCTGCCGTGGGAACTCTGGCTCTGTATTCTTACCCTGCGTAGGAGGAGCAGAAACCGTTTCCACATTTGGGCCTATTGTATTTTCATTAATGTCATCAGAACTACACGCCGTATGAACTCTGCGATTGTTCTTTCCCATAGGGACACCCTCCGGGGAAGCCGTGCCATTCCTATCACGTCTTGCACGTCGTGAAGTTTTCCCACTTTCTACACCCACAGAGATATCTGCGTACACGGCGATGCCCTGTTTAAGTTGTGCGTATTTGGGACCGGGCCGCACGCCAAGAGCGAGAGCCTGACCTGCATCGAACGCAGGCTGAGGCGCATTTACAATAGCGTAGCCTAGCACCAGTTCTGACAAATCCGGTAGAAATTCAGAAAATGCATTTTCGTCATCCCCAATATCTACCGCTGAGGTCCCTTCCCGACACGCCTCGCTATTTTTATGAGCGTACGCGTCACTGGTATGATTTCGTGCGATGCCACCAGATACACGAAATGCGATCAGAACGCTCTGGGAGCTTAGAGGCAGTACAGCCACAATAAATGGTACTTCTGCATTGAAACCTACTTCTTTTCTTCCTAGCTCCATATGAACTGGAGATGGGATTAAAGCCGAAGAAAACGGTGGCAAAAGAAAAATCTCATCCCTTGCCACTGCTGTGGTTTTCACTTCCTTTTGTATAGGTGTAGATGAGGAAAAACATTCCGCCAGAGGCTTGATAAGATTGTCCTTTTCAGATCCACATGAGATCAGTTGTATCACCTTGTTGAGAGTTGACAAAGGAGGTAGAAATGTAGGGGTCAGCAGGCGAAATACCATAGGGCGGTACGAAAAGTAGCTAACACGAAGAGCCACTAGGAATTTCTCGAGACCAGCCATATGGGGCATAAGGGTTGCCTTCCCGCGTGCACCAGATGCCTGATCGTCGCCCAGTTTGGCGAGCCACGCCTGAAGAGCGAGTTGGACACTGCTTGGGCCGAATACATTGACATGCTGCACACCAGAATCGTTGATTGTGAAAAGTAGCCCTGGCAAACCCATCACAGCCGTACCTGCCGAGGCGGCGGCGGTGGTTAGAGAATCCCACGCACTATGATGGGGCTCACAGTTAGTGTTCGCTGCCTTCTCGCTGCCCTTGTGTCCGCATTGGCTGACATCAACCTCAGCATCCTTGTTATCCCTTGAGCGATGAAACAAAGTGGGCGCCGTTGTCGCTGGTGTTTGTCGCCTGCCACCCCATCGAGTGAAGAAGAAACCCTTAATTTTGTTTAGTTTAATATTTGCCTCCGAGCTAAAACGCTGCGTCCCCTCGGGACAATTGAAAAACAAATATCCTTCCGTACCGGTAATGCTCATCTTTGACTTTTTATTCAAGTCATTGTGGTTGGTAAAATTCATCTTTTCGTCTGTCAAGGAGTTCTGGCCCTTGGAACTCGGTTCGGCACTTCCCCCTAAACGAACTATCGCAGCTTCCAGGGGAAGTCGAAGAAGGTTTTGACAAGTAGCTGGGGCTGGAAAGCTGTGGGAAGGCGGGCAATCTGATGAGGGGCTAGCTTGCAAGCCAGGATGGTCCAAAGGTCCGTAATAACAACATCCACCAAAGCCATTGGGTGTATCTGTTCCTAGTAATTGAATGTATTGAGACATCGAAAGGGATATGTCTGGTTTACTAATCTTCCCATAGAGGGGCTCAGCGAGTGCAATGAAATTATATATATATATATAATATTGTGATGCGAAAGAGTACTCGCTGATTATTTTTCTAAAGAAAAAGGTGACAAAGATAAAAAAGTTCACCTTATAAACATGTATGAATCTCAAAAATATAAAAAGGATTAACTCATGGCAAATAAAAAGGATGGCATATCATGACAAGTATTGTCATCGGATTATATCCTGATATGTGTGCGTTTTCATCGTATCTTGTACAGTGCGCATAAAATAAAATATGCTAAGCTTATCAATAAACATGATGAAATGCTTCCAAAACTTCACATCATACTACTGATCATGACTTGTTTGAATCATTTTGGGATTTCGACTCAGCCCCTTTTGCATTTCCGGAGGTCTTTCCGTCCCCACCTGAGGATTGAATGGAGCAAACACCGTCACCAGCCCCCGGTGCCGTCTTATCTTCCCCACGAGAGTTCTTTACGCTGCCATTTTCCTCATCCTTTTTCGAAGCGGTTTCTGAGAGCAGACCCTCAGTGTTCATGAGCATCCACGATGGTAGCATCAGCTCTGTATTCATAATCAACCTCGGTAGCAGCAACATCCTAAGGCCTAAAGTGAAGAGGCGAAACGCCGCCTCCTGCGGAACACGCGGGACCTGACGGGTTAACATGATCAACACCTGCGCCTGCCGGTCCCAGATGGGATAGTGCGAACGCGACGCCCCACTTCGATAAAAATCACGCCGTGCAGTCCAAAAACTCTGCTCGTCGCCATGAATCATCTCAGCATCAATGATGCGTGGACATTTATTCAAATTCTTCTTGTAGGGTGCAATGTATTCAGGCGTAAACTCCACAGCTGTGGAAGTATGCACAATATTTACACGCCCACCACGACGGGATAAGTAATTTCTTTGAAGGACACGTAAACGTGAGGAGACTATACGTGTTATAGGCATGATGTCTCAAAATTCTCCTCTATGAGATGAGGAAGAAAAATGAGTGGAAGTAAAAGAAATCTCTATACCTTTTGTGGGATAAATGTAAAGTTATATCTCAGGATATTATTGATAAAGCCTCAACTAGTGGCATGGGCGCGCCTTCACGTTGAGATGAAAACATAAAAAATAAAAGCAAACCCCATTAGAACACATCTGCAATGGAATCTATTTGAAGACTATTAAATGTGTGCGTTTTTTGATACTTTCATTTTAGTGGTACAGATTAGATTTTTGTGAGTAGCATCCACTGATGAAGTGCCGTATTCCACTAAGAAGAATACACATGTACCTCTACCTTCGTGACGGCCAATACCACGACACCCCAGAAGTGTGAACCCTCGGTGAGGCGCAATCAACGCCATCAAATCATTGCCAAATCACTAGAAGCAATACAATTATGAACAACAGCGTAAAGGTGTTGAAAAGGGGAATTCACATATTTTGTATCCCGCGCACGTACTGGTGGGCAAAAAGGTTAGAATTAATTTCCTTTTATCAATTGCCTATCGATATGATGTAAAACATAATATTCAATAGAACACAATAAAATGTTAAACCATCGCTACTAAATATGTCTTAACATCTTTATTACTTCATTGATCTGTCAGTGGTTGATCACTGCGACAATTTTATAAAATGGGAAAGCAAACAGTAAGAAGTGAAAGCAAAAACAAAAAGGGTCACGAAAAATAATAATAATATCGAAAGAGGATTTCTTCACAATGAAAAGAACAGAAGTAACTTTTCAAAGAAAGTTATTGTTCATATAAAAAAAGTTCATATTAGTAAATGAAACAAGAAATAAAAATGTCAACAATAAGCATTATACTATTTTGTGGTATATTCATTAAAGTGTATTATATCTGTTGTATATTTATATGATCCTGCGCAAAGGAACTTAAATCAAATCGGTGATATATTAAAATTATAAGTGTATAGAGTGATATCATGGAGTGCAGAAATAATCTATGAAGCAAGGTGTCGTTCCTCCCTGAATCACTGTTATTCTTCAACACATGAATCTAATTATACATTTTATATGCTCAAGAATACGGAGACAGAACAGTAATGCGCAAGCCAGTACACCATATTATTTTATTGGTGTTTTGTTGAACATAATATTCGATAGTCCCTTAACTCGGCATAGCACTACGCTTTGGCCTCCAATTCGTCGAGCATTCGCTCAAATTGAAGAAGCTCACTCGCACTGGCAGGCATTAACAACTGCTTCGAGAGGAGCAAACCATCAATTCCGTCGTGCACCATCCCTAACATACATCCACATGACGGACAAAAGTACACCTTGAAATACCCCTCCTCCTTCCGGCAGGGTTGCCGTTGATGTGAACACTGCACAGAGTTACTTGAAGGATCAGCTATGGCAGATTGGTTGCGGCCTGATCCTTCGTCCTCGCCAAACTTTGGTTCATCGGGTTTGGAAAGGGGAAAATTGGTGACATCAATCTCAGGTCTTCCATTCCTTTCATAGTCCTCATCATTATCGGCGTCTAGAAGAATCGTAAAGTGATACTCTGATGGGGTATGTAAAATTTCGGGGTTGCGCTTTGCGAGCTCCCTGTTAAGATTACTGACACCTGGGACGAAATCGACAAAATCATCCTCAGGGATCCTTGTCCCATCTTCGTCTTCCAAACTGATAGCGGCTGAAGTATCAGGATACCTTATATTTAGGACACTTTCAATGTGGTGTATTCCAGGTAAATGAAGCCATTCCACACCATAATGGGAGCCGCTCACACGGCGGCACGCATAACATGAGCACACAAACGAGCCATAAATTCTCGAGAAAAAGCTCCGCACCCGCGTGCAGCCACAGAGGCAATTCCCATTAAAGTACTTCAGCGCCGAGCCCCTCCAGCGTGCGATGAGGTCGTTCCGGGTGACCCCGCTGGAATGCGCCTTTGTCAGGCGGTAGGAGGAATCCAGAGCCCCTTTTAAGGGGGAGGTTCCCAGTCGTCGCTGGGTGCTGAAATTCTCCGTCCGGCCTTCGACAGGCGCGGAGGCAGGGACTTTGGGCTCCACATGGCTGTTCATATCGTCCCAATTGAAGCCGGCCTGAGGTGGCTTTGAGGTGGTG